CCGGGCGCGTGTGCGTGCGTGCCCAAGATCCCAAGAGGAGAATGGAGGAGAAGGGATTGCGGCGTGACCATCCCCTCTGGGGGGTGATTTCTCGCTTTCTGTCTCTCTGTCTCTGTCTGTCTGGCGAGCGCATGCGCCCTATAGCGAAAACCTCTCAAAAAAAAAAAAAAAAAAGGGTCAGCTCTGGGGTCAGCAGGTACTATGAAGGTTAATGTGCTAGAACCCTCATGGCCAACTACATGGTTCAAATCCCAGACCTGGGAGCTTGAAAATCACACCAGACGTGTGCATGTGTGCCCCAAATCCAGAGAGAATGCAGAAGAAGGGATTGTGGCATGGCCTTATCCCTGGAAGGTGATTTCTCTCTTTCCTTCTTTCTCTCTGGTGAGGACACGGGCCTGATAGCAAAAAAACTTCAAACTAAACGAAACAAAAAGGTCTAGCTTGTGGCGTAGTGGTAATGCGTTGTTCAAGGGAAGCTGTATCCTTCATGATAACCTTGATTTGAATCCTCAGCCCAGTTTGCCTGAAACACACCAGGTACATGTGCAAGTGCCCGGGATCCAAATGACTAGAGGAAGGGGATTGTGACGTGACCAGATCCTGTGAAGGGTGCTCCTGATTTCCCCCCTCTCTCTTGTTCTCTCTCTGATGCATGCATATGCTCCAGGGAAAAAACAACTCAAAAGAAAAGATGACATCACAGTATTAAATAACTAGAAAAGATCTTATCTAAAGATAGTAAGTTTTGGGACCAGCAGTTGGCGTAATGGCTATGTCGCTGGACTCCCACGTAGTTGACTGCGGTTCAAGTCCCTGACCCAGTGGCTTCAACTCACACCGGGTACAGGTACATGTGCGTGCGTGCCCAAGATCCTGAAAAGAGAATGAAGGAGAAGGGATTGTGGCATGGCCATCCCCCTGGGGGGTGATTTCTCACTTTCTGTCTCTCTGTCTCTCTCTGGCGAGCACACACACCCTATAGCAAAAACCTCTCCAAAAAAAAAAAAAAAAGATAATAAATTTTGCAGGATCTTTACAAAATGTTAAGTAGAGAGAATCAAATAAAAAGCGTAAAACAAAATCACAGTGAAAGACATCACAGGTAAGTGTAATTGTTTCGAAGAGGGTCTTGGAAGCAAGGGAGTACACATGAAAATTAAAATTAAATTCATTCAGAATTAACTGAGCCAAATGAACTTGTCCTTCTTTCCCTCTCCCTGCCCATATCCAAGCACTCTACGCTCTACTGAGAAGCCAACCCCACCTACTTCATATCAAAGAGATGTAGTAGAGAAATATATCTAAGCAGCTACTGAAGAAACTCAAGCCAGCTACTAGAATAACCCAGTAATCATAAACAAAGAGCCAAGATGAACAAAGGAAGAAGTAATAAAAATTCAGCAATGAGAAAATAATCTACTGAGGCTGGAGGAGGGAGGATGTATATGCAGTATCCTCAGAAACTGGTAGACATTGCAGCCATAAAACAAGTACTGTATGCCATGAAAAAGAGCAGAGAGCAAAAACTGTGAGAATTGAAAAATACAGGCCCAGTCATAACATAGTGGGAAGGCCCCCAGGAGGTAGCCAAGGCTGCATGAAAGGTTTGGTGCAGTTCCTAGGCCAAGAGGCCAGGTACAATGGCAAACGTCTCTGCTTCCTACTGGGAGGCTGTGGCAAGAAGATCTTTACTTGGTGAGATCCTGCCGAAAATACTAAAGTGTAAACCAATCTCTTCCAAAATGGCATCACCTTTTGTGGAACATAATGATCTTTAGCATGCTGCTCCAAGGGGCCTTACTGATGTTGAAACAAAAAGACAAAGACTGACCCCACTTTGTGCCAGGCTGACAAAATGGCAGGGCAAGTACTTGGTGCGGTTGGAGCTCTTCTTCTTTACGACTGAAATCTCCTATTTCCTACTTAGACACCTTCTAAGTATGCACTGAAGGAGACAGGAAGGCAGCAAAGGTGCAAAAGCTGTCTAAGAATGATGTATTTATGGTGAACAAAGGATCCCTGTCAACAGGAGCGAGAGTTAATGCTGTAAAGGCTAAGCTGGCAAAATCATTTTAACTAATTCTGTGTGTATGCAGAGAAGCAAAAAAAAAAAACTGCTTGAAGAGTTGAGAAACACTGATGTTTAATTGGCTGGGGTCAGATAAGAAGAGTGACTTGGACAGTATGTGGCATGGTGGTCAAGGCGCTGGACTCACAACATCACTAACATGGCTAGAGTCCTAAAAAAGATGGTCTGAAAATAATGCTGAGCATGTATGCATGTATGTCCAAACTCCTAGAAAGAGAAAGGACTGCTGTGTGGCCATCCCTCCAGGGGTTAGTTTCTTACCTTTCCTCTTTCTGTCTCTCTCCAGTGAGCTCACATGCCCTGTGGCTAAAACCAAAAACCAAAAAAAAAAAAAAAAAGGAGAGAGAGAGACAGAGAAAAGGAATATGAGTGACCATCAAGTCAAGGTAGATAAATGACTAAAAATGACTAAAATTCCCAGCATAATAATACGTGTGGGTGGAGTTGGAATTTCTCTCAACAACCTATGGCTATGGTATGTTTTCAGAACAGTGCTAGGGAATTAATTTCACAGTCTACTACCTTATTAGGTAGCTGTAAGTTTATGCTCATTTTCTGGTGATAAAAATTTAATCTCTAGTATTAAAATAGGATCTATAATAAATGTAAAAGTTGACAAAAAAGAAAACAGGCATCAGTCACTCTGAATCTTTTAGCAAGCTTCAGGTATAAAAATACCCATTGCTCTGTCTCTCTCCTACTCTCTTGCTCACTCTCCTTAAAGACCTTTTAAGGATAAACCAGTCTCTTCAATAAATAAACTGGAGGGCCAGCCTGTGATGAAGGCAGCTGGGTCCCAGACAGCCAACCGCATGGTTTTGGGTCTCAAATTCAGTGGCTTGAAAAACACACAGGGCATATGTGCAATCATGTCCAAAATCCTGAGAGGGAATGGAGGAGAAGGGATTTCTTTTCTAAGACAACAGATAATGTTGGTTTTACTAAAGTTATAAGAAACACACTTTTAATGTATTCTGCAGAAAGTCAGTTTGATAATTTTTAATGGCTTCAGTGAGTTCTAGCCTTTCTAAAAATACCAATACTTCATTCTCTAAAAAAGGAAACAATTGCTCTTTTACCATATAAGAATAATGTTTTCTGTAGAGACCTTCAATCTTCCTATCAGCAAAACTAACAGGTCTTGGCTTTATTTATTTTTTTTCTTTTCATGTAGCATGTGAAAGTACTGATTTAGATTCAAGGCTTTTTTTTCCCATGTAGTGTATCAAACTACTGATTTAGATTTAAGTACATCATTGACCATCATTTTCAAATTTAACTGTGGAATAACTGATTACTACTGGTAAAGGAGAAAATGCAAACAATTCAGTAGGAAAAAAAAAAAATCCTGCCTAGTATTCTACTAAACTCCTAATAAACTTCCAAATATTGTATCCATAAATCTATAACTCTAACTTT